AGGCTCTAGCCTAGCTCACTTCCTGGTTCCTGGTTCTTCTCGTGATGCTAATTTCTAATTTTCAAAACACAGCCTTCATTTCTCTGGGTGTTGACTGCCGTTTCTGAGAGAAGGGGCTTGTTACTGCATCATCAAATGAAAGCCATTGGAAGGAAAAAGGAAAGTGGTCTCAGTCTCTGAGACCCCCGTGGACGGCAGCCCTGCCAGGCTCCTCTGTCTGGGGAATTCTCCAGGCAAGAAGACTGGAGTTGGGGGTGGCCATTTCCTCCTCCAGGGAATCATCCTGACCCAGGAATCGAACCCATGTCTCCTGCATTGCAGGCAGATTCTTTACCATCTGTGCCACCAGGAAAGCCCCAATTAAGATGGAAACTGGGCACCATATAGAAGTTCCTTGCCCACATTTCACTGTCCCCTATAACCCATAACCGATGACCATGGACCACACTCAATACAGCTCACAAATGCCATCAAATTAAAGCACTGGTCTTCTCCAGTTTTAGAGTGCATTCTCAATTTGCTTTTCCAACAGGGGAACGTCAGAAAAAGAGTGTGACTGTTTGCTACACAGTTTATCCTTCTCGAATGCCACTGAAAAACCTTTAGAAAGACAAGCTGCTGCCCACCCCCTCCCCCAAAATGAGTCTAAGAGGGTCTTGGCTGAACGTTTCTGGGGAAGATACATCAGTGTGATTATTAAGAAGTCGACAGGCACGTCAGCACACATACCGAAAAAAGGTCCTTAAAATGAAGAAACAATGCATACTCTTGCAATCAATGCTTCTGCTCCATTTTAAATGGGGTGCATGTTTTCCGCCTCAGTTTTCTCCCAAACCTGTCCTTGACTCACTTGTTGCAGCTTCAGGAGGTGGTGTTTCAAAGCTGAGAGTCCACGGCGGCTTTATCTCACACAGGCTGACCCAGAATCTCTGGATGAGAGTCCTGGAGTACACCTTTAGTAAGCCTCTCTGATTAAGGATTAAAAAAAAAAAAAAAAAGGTAAAAGAGAGGAGAAGAAATGGATACCCTAAATCAGTTGCAAGGAAAAGCATCGCTAACTTTTTGGAAACCGGGAATGGGGGCCTTGTTTTGTGTTTCATCAGTAACCTGAGACAGGCTGTGTATTCTGCTCTTTTTTTCATGGAGTTCATCAAGGAGTTAACCAAGGGTTTTTTCCTAGATTCTCTTTCATAGATTGGGTGTTTTGTCCAAGTCCCGCTGAAGTCATTACAAGGTTCATTTCTTCTGCAGACGAATTCTGATGATCAGGTCCACCTTGGCTTTGAGGAAAGACATACTAAGCTCTTTTTTACTAATGCACCTGGACAAGTCCCACTCAGCCATTTATCAGTCATCATTCCTTCCGGACATACTTCAGGTTCCCCTCCTGGGTACTTGGTCTTGACTAACGTAGGGTGTGGCTTAACCAGTCATGTCAACAGTTAGGGAATTTCTGGCTTCATAGGTGGCACTAGTGGTAAAGAACCCGCCCGCCAATGCAGGAGACGTAAGAGACGAGGGTTCGAGCCCTGGGTGGGGAAGATCCCCTGGAGGAGGGCATGGCAACCCACTCCAGCATTCTTGCCTGGAGAATCCCACGGACAGAGGAGCCTGGTGGGCTACAGTCCATGGAGTCGCAAAGAGTCAGACAATGACTGAAGTGACTTTGCATGCACACAGACGCTAAGTCAAAAGCTTAGCTGCATAATAGATTGGATATATGTGAACAGAGCAAAATACTAGATTTTGAGCATTACTCTGACTTTACCAAAATGCTTTCTTTTCAAAGTGATTTTCAACTGCAATTAAAGAATATGAAAAAGACTAGCATAATCATAGAGGATGTCTGTGATACTTCTAAAAGAAGAAAGCTATATAATCACAAGTACTATTGTAACATATGCATAAGAAAGCACATCCTATACATTTAAACCTAAGCTTCCTGTGCCGCTCACTAGATGTTCTTTTGTAGTTTATCATAAAATGCATTTATTCATGGAAATTACTATGCTATGTCATACACATATAAGCAGCAAACATATTGTTTGTTAAAAAAAATACAGTGATCCCTTTGAACATTTAAAAGCTCAGTATGCTTGTCCTTGTCACTTCACTTTCTAGAATATAAATTTAATGATGTAACATGCAAAGTTATAAATCAAACATACCGTAAGAAAATATAGGCATGCATGATATCCTTGGCTTCATTGAGACCAGGTCTTCACTTCACTTTAAAATGCAAACTCCATAGAAGGATCTGCTACAGCTTTTGGAAATGTTTTTAGTAATTCCCAGATGAAAGTGATAACATTCAGAAGACAGGTCCTGTGTTCATAATGTTTGTCCTCCATTCATTGACTTAAGGCTCAATACACCTTCCTGCTTGGGGTCTCCAAGAAGATGCTCTTCTTTGCTCTTACTCAATATTTAAGTGTGTTTGTTGGTAAGTCACGTCCCAGGCTTTGCAACCCATGGACTGCAGCATGCCAGGCTTCCCTGTCCTTCACCATCTCCTGGAGCTTGCTCAAACTCATGCCCACTGAGTCAGCGATGACATCAAACCATCTCGTCCTCTGTTGTCCCCTTCTCCTCCTGCCCTCAATCTTTCCCAGCATTGGGGTCTTTTCCAAGTCAGCTATTTGCATCAGGTGGCCAAAGTATTGGAGCTTCAGCTTCAGCATCAGTCCTTCCAATGAATATTCAGGGTTGATGACCTTTAGGAAGTGTGTTTAACATACTTTAAAAATATTTCCATCCACAATTCCTAACACCTTTTCAACAAACTTATGAGTTCATGTAAGCTCACGTCTAAACTTTTTATGGTTCCAGCTCACGTTTAGAACTGTCATGCTAAAAGCTACCGATGAGGTTGGTTGTGTCATTTGTGGGGCCTTGGGCAAAATGAAAATTCAGAGAGCCACGCTGAAAATTAAAATCAAGATCGCACCAGATGAACATTCAATGAAGTGTGGATCCTTCTAACATCACACAAGCCATGAGACCAGTTCTGCCTACAGAGCCTTTTGCACAAAGAAACTTTGATTTTTGAAACCCACTGGGGGAAACACGCTAAACAGTTAATTCTCTTGGCCTTGCTGATTTGAACGATATGGAGAAATATACACACAAGATGATGTGAAAGAAAAAGTGGGTATGAAAGAATCACGGCAGATGGTTGTCATCATCACCATCATTTTGCAGGAAGATCTCAGAGTGTCCGGGTGGAAACCGTGGGGAATTTTAGGAGGAGAGAACTGGAAACTGGAGCAAGCCGTGCGCTCCGGCTTCTCGCTGTGTCTTTGAGCAGGTTGCATGCGTCTAGACGGGACTGCCGCTGCTTTTGGTGGTGTGCTAACCGAGGCCCCCCCGCCCTTTAGAACGTGTGTGTGAAGTCCTGCTTGAGGACCAGCTCGCGTGAGTCACAGGAGTGTCAGTCCCGTTGTCCCGCCTCCAGCTAGTGCGCTTGCGTCCTCTGGACTCAGTCGTGTTACATAAAGGTCCCAGGTGTGGAGCTCAGCCTTCCTCAGACCCCAGCTGTCTGTGGGATCTCCTACCTGCAGAGGACTGGAGCAGTGTCCCTTCCCCGTGGAGCTCCGGGAAGTACAGACCTTTGTCAGAGGGAGGGGGTGTAGTTCAGACGATGCAGAGCGTCCACCTCTGGACAGAGGGCGTGGGTGGTGAAAGAACGTGGGGAAAGATCACAAGAGGTGTGGTGTGCTGTGCCTGGTCGCTCAGTCGTGTCCAACTCTTTTCGACCCCACGGACTGTAGCCCACCAGGCTCCTCTGTCCCTGGGGATTCTCCAGGCCAGATTACAGGAGGTGACAGGGTGGCTGTCTTGCTGTTCACAGGGCCAAATCAAAAGACTTGGGGGCAAAGAGGAGCAGGGTGCAGGAAAGATTGCTGTCTTGAATAGGTCCGTCCTGCTGTCCAGGTAAGGCCTTACTGGAAGGGACACCTGCGGAAATGAGGTGTGTGTGACCATGTCATCATTTCAGTCGCTTGGTCATGTCCCACTCTTGACGGCAGACCGCCAGGCCTCCCTGTCCATCACCATCTCCCAGAACTGGCTAAAACTCATGTCCATCAAGTTGGTGATGCCATCCAACCATCTCCTGCTCTGTCCTCCCCTTCTCCTCCATAAATGTTCCTAGCGACCTGCCCGGATCAATTTCCAGGTGATGGATACTCATTAAGAGGGAAGGAAAGGACTAGTGAAAGGTCTCAATGGACGGAGTTGAAGAAGACAGGGAAGAAGAAAGGAAGGGAAGCAGGCAGAAAGGAAGAGGGCAAAGGATGAGGAACGAAGGAACAGGGGAGGGAGGTGTGGAGGATGGGGGCATCTGGAGGGAGGCGGGTCAAACGTCTCTGCATAGCCTCTGTCTCCTCTTATTGCACCCAGCGCAGTTCTGTCCATTCGCTCCCTTCCGCTCCTTGGAAGAGGGAAAATCCAAATACGCCAAAGCATATGAGTAGGACCTGGAACCACCGGAGTCGGAAGCCGGGATGGAAGCCCACAAGTTCGGGGGGCGCCTCCGTCCATCCTTAACCTGTTCTCACGTCCAGGTGGGGTCCCAGGCCCTGATGCCCAGGCCAGCACTTGACACCCAGACCCGGGGCCTGCTGTTGATGCCCGATTGGCGAGGGGGTGCTGGGGGGCAGGAGGGAGCGAAGGCGGAGTGCGGGGGAGCGGACCCCCAGGAGAGGGGCGCACGGCTGGCGCTCCGCAGGCGGTCGCGCGTCTGGCTCCCTTGGAGCTGCCCACGGCCCTCCGCCCGCCCCGCCCACCTCCGTCACTCACTTTCCTCGCAGCCAATGGCGCGGCCGTCTGTCACCCTCGCTCCGCCCCCACGGAGGCGGGGCCGGGGGAGGGCGCGGGGCGGGAGTGGCCTGATTGAACTTTGCCAGCGGAGTTGTTGCGGCCGCGCGATCCCCGGCGGCGGTGCGGAGCTGGGAGCCTCGGCCAGCGCCCGGCGCCCGCGCGCCCTCCGACCCGCAGCCATGGCGGCCGGGGCGCCCGGCGCGGCCCTGACCCTCTGCCTCTGGCTGGCGGCCTCCGGAGGCTGCCTGGCGGCCGGCTCCGGCGCGACCGCTGCCCGGCGCTTGGATGAGTCGCTGGCGGCCGGGAGCGTCCAGCGCGCCCGCTGCGCCTCCAGGTGCCTCAGCCTGCAGATCACGCGCATCTCCGCCTTCTTCCAGCACTTCCAGGTACGCACCGCCGCGCGCCCGGGTCCTCCCCTGGCGCTGCGGGGCGCGCGCCTTCCAGCCTCGCCGCTCAAACTTCACGCTCAGCGGCAGCCGGCCGGGGTCCGGCTTTACGCGCGGGGTGGGTTGTACCTTCGTTGGGGAGCGGGAGGGGGTGGGTGGGCGATCCCGGCTTTGCAGCCCCTCGCCGGCTCCCGACCTAACTCTCTTGTTCCCCGGGGAAAACCAAAAGGCGGTTTCCTTTGGGAAGGGAGAGAGGTTTTGTGGCTTCCAAGGATGGAGTGGGGTGGGCTGTGGGCTTGTGAGTTGCCCCGGGACCTCCGCCGCGGGACTGCGGGCCGGTGGCCAGTCTCCCCTCAAAGTCCCCGGGCGCTCCGGGCCCTCCGCGCCGCGGGCAGAGCGAGCTAGGCCCTCACTCCACTACGCCCGGGGACCCCGCGCGACCAGTCCCGGCGCCGCAGGTGCCCTGCCGGCCGACACTTTTTTTGTCTGTGTTGAGCTTTGCTTTCGCACTCGGCGGGCCGGGAGCTCGCGGTCCACCCTTGGAGCCTCAGCCAGGGGTCACTTGGTCTTCCAGCGAGTTTGTGTTGGGGCCGGGAGGGGGGTGGTTACCGCAGGTGACTGTGCCACCCTAATTCGGAGCCCCGGAGCTTCTAGGTGTCGCCAGCGAATGGCGTTGAGACTAAGGGAAGAGATGGCAACGGATAAGGGACTTGGAGGCGCCGAGTTCGGATGTTCCGGAGAGAACTCCCGCGGCCAGTATCTCTTCCAACTCTTGTAGGTTCTGGCGGCTTGGGGGTAGAGGGGCGCGTTTGCGTATGCAGAAGGTTCAGGGGACAGGCCACTTGATGCCAGGAGATGGCTGGGATACTTGGGTGGAGGGGAGTCACAGCGGGGAGTGACTCAGGGACCCTGGGTGCCGATGGGCACGCGGGAACCGCTCCCGAGCCGGGCCCCAGGCGCGCCTCGCAGCCGCGGTCCCCAGCTGATCGGAGCGCGCGCACTCTGCAATCATTCACGCGTATAACCCAATTCCTCTCGTGTGCTCGCTTCTTGCCCTCGCCGTCTCCTCTCTAGCCTTGAAGTCGTTCACCTGTTACAAGATACCAACTTCTGGCCGCAGGGAAAACTGTGGCTCCCAGAAAGGGGCCGCGCGGCTCCTCGGTGGGTTTCTCAGCCGAGCCCCTCTGAAATAAACGAGGCGCCTCTCGCGCTTGCGCGGGGTCAAAGGGGCCTTCCAAGGGTTCCCGGACACTAAGCTGCGATGGGGGCCATCGTAGTGACCGTGGAGTTTGGGACGAGTCTCCAAAGCCTTTAAGCCCCGTTCATTCTGGCGTGAGAGAGCTAATGAAACCTGGCCCGGAATGGCCCCTCGGAGAGCTAAAAGTTGGAATGTGCAGAGAGTGAACCCGCTGGCCAAGTCTCCACGCGTCCGAGTACGCGCGGTCCTGCGTGTTCGCAGAGAAGGGGCATCCGTAGGTTTCAGAGAACTCTGCGATCCCCCTCGGTCTTCAGGGAAGGGACGGGGGCGGGGGGGGTGGTCTCATGCGCTGAATTTCCGCGGACACCCTGGAGAGGGTCCCTCCCAGCCACCTGGTTTCTTGCCCGCATGCCCTGCCCTGCGGTCGCTCTTCTGAGCCAATGCCACCCTATTGTTCAAACAGCAACATAAAACGGCATCCTGTTCCCAGGGAGAAAGACTATCTTTTCTTTTTCTTCTTCCCTTCCTTCCTTCTTTAAATTGAACTGTCAGTCGCTGTAATTTATTTGTTTTACAGTTTCAGCGCCGAAAGAAACAGTGCAGATCAAGCCAATTCCCGTGAAAGGCTTTTCTTGTGGTCTCTTGGCATGATTTCTCTTCGGAAGAAAAAACTGCTGACAGAATACACATTGCCAGACAATCCTGATTACATTTTAATTAGCTGGGGGGTGGGGGGTGAACTAGGCTGCAAATTACTCAGTTAGGACTTAATAACTGCTGTTTCTGCAATCAATTGCAAAGCCATTCTTGGAGGTTTAACCCTAACATGGTAATGCCTATCTGATTTATCTAAATTGCAGGGATTAAGCTTTCTTAAGATTTGAAAAGACAGAGGCGCACGCTCCTTATAAAACCTCAAGCTTCCCCGTCCCTCCCCTCTTTAAATAATTGGAAGGATGCTGAGATATCAGGCAGGGGGCAACTGCAGGTGGGATTTGTGAACTGGTGGGAAAGACTGGGCTGAAGAAAGGGCTTGGAATAGTGCCTTCTATCAGGGATACCCCAGCCACCCACACACTTGTGCAAATAAACCAGATCCGAAGGCTGTCTCTGGTGCAGATAGTGGTTCCCAGTTTCTCTTGCATGGTTCCTGGCCTGCTTGTAAGGCTGGAGGAAGGTTCGCCCGCAGCCTTGAGGCCGCAGCAGTCTTGAGCCTTCAGTTCAGTTTGGTTCAGTTGCTCAATCGTGTCCAACTCTCTGTGACCCCATGGACTGCAGCACACCAGGCTTCCCTGTCCATCACCAACTCTCAGAGCTTGCTCAAACTCATGTCCATCGAGTCGGTGATGTCATCCAACCATCTCATCTTCTGTCGTCCCCTTCTCCTCCTGCCTTCAATCTTTCCCAGCATCAGGGTCTTTTCAAATGAGTCAGTTCTTTGCATCAGGTGGCCAAAGGATTGGCGCTTCAGCTTCAGCATCGGTCCTTCCAGTGAACATTCAGGACTGATTTCCTTTAGGATGGACTGGTTGGATCTCCTTGCAGTCCAAGGGACTCTCAAGAGTCTTCTCCAACACCACAGCTCCAAAGCATCGATTCTTCAGTGCTCAACTTTCTTTATCGTCCAACAACTCTCACATCCATACATGACCACTGGAAAAACTATAGCCTTGACTAGGTGGACCTTTGTTGGCAAAGTAATGTCTCTGCTCTTTAATATGCTGTCTAGGTTGGTCATAGCTTTTCTTCCAAGGTTAGGGGGTTAATTTACTTCAAAACCGGCTGCCTCTTTTTCTGGCCCTGGGGCCACATAGAAACGTGCTGTCCGTTATTAAAGAGTAAGAAGCGTTGTGGAAGGAAGTAAACTATCAAACTTTTTCTTTCTCCTGTGACCCTTCTCTCTTGGCTTCTCCGTGTTTTAAATTTGCTCTCCAGCGCTGTTCTCGGTAAAGAATAATTTAAAGATGAAGTCATTTGCGTGGATTTCACTGTTCATCTTTCTCTTGTGCAGTGCCTGTGTCACACTCAAACACCAGAGGTTTCACTTGGAATTTCCAGCAGTACACAACTTGGATTTCCTGGCTCATCCCTCGAGGGCCAAGCTGGGGCCAGACTCAGAGAAGTGGAAAGGAGGCAGAGGTAGTGTCAGTCGCTCAATCGTGTCTGACTCTTTGCGACCCCATGGAGTGTAGCCCCGCCAGTCTCCTCTGTCCATGGGGTTCTCCAGGGAAGAATACTGGAGTGGGTTGCCCTTCCCTTCTCCAGGAGGTCTTCCCGACCCAGGGATCAAATCTGGGTCTCTCACATTGCAGGCAGATTCTTTACCATCTCAGTCACCAGGGAAGCCCACCTCCCAAAGAGACCTGTGTTCAGGTATACTCAATGGGTGCCCCACAAGGGAATCTTGCAGGATGTGTGTTGACTGTCATGGATACCCAGGATCTGACGAGCATGCACACTTGCTCAGGCATGGCGTGCGCCTGGTGTCCTTTCCTGCCAGCTGCTGGGCCAATGCGTTGAGCCTTGTGTTAGCTAGATGATAGCTCAGTTGGTAAAGAATCTGCCTGCAATGTGGGAGACCCCGGTTCCGTTCCTGGGTGGGGAAGATCCCCTGGAGAAGGGATAGGATACCCGTTCCAGTATTCTTGGGCTTCCCTTGTGGCTCAGCTGGTAAAGAATCCGCCTGCAATGCAGGAGACCCTGGTTCGATTCCTGGGTCGGAAAGATTCCCTGGAGAAGGAAATGGCAACCCACTTCAGTACTCTTGCCTGGAGAATCCCATGGACAGAGGAGCCTGGTAAGCTACAGTCCATGGGATTGCAAAGGGTCGCACATGACTGAGCGACGACAGGAAGTCAAGCCAGGGGTCTCTGCTTCCTCCTGCTCAACCTGTAGTGGATGGGCAGCCCAACCGCCCAAGGGTGCTCAGACCCCCTTACCAGAGGCAGTTAGGTGCCTGCACCAGGAATGGGGGACAGGCTCATTCCTGTGGCGTTGTGGCCTCTGGCTGGTCGTCCACAAACACAGCTTGCAGCTCCCAGCGTGGGACGGGCACCGTCGCCACTAAACATGCATGTGCCCCCCAGCATTCCTTGTGCCCGCTCTCAGGTTGCTGCAGGGGGCCGAGTGCGACAGTACTTTGAGGGGGTGTGTGGGCAGGAAGAGATTGGGGAGGACGGGGGCTCCAGGGGGGCCGCAGGGAAGTTAAGCAGCTCAGAACCTTCGCTGGAGAGGAGAGGGAGGTGAGAGGCATCACGCCTGCGGATATCTCCAGAACATGCTTCAGCAGCCCAGCAGAATCCACATTGCAGAATGCAGACTCAGAAACGAGATCACTGATAATTCCATCATGATGGTCTTGGCGCGGTCGCCCCCAAGCTGCAAGGCTCTTTCTGAGCTTCAACCATGTGCACGGATCTGTGTCCCTGGGGCCGGCCCTGGTTTGGATTGTTCAACCCCTGGCAGCGGTTATGCCCGCTTGTCCTGGGGAATATTCATAGGCTGTCCTTAGTGTTCAGAGATCTGATAACTGACATGTTCATTTGGGAGTAACCTGGCCCTGCACTTACTTTCTCTCTTCTGTTCAGTTGCTCAGTCATGTCCGATTCTTTGAGATCCCATGGACTGCAACACGCCAGGCCTCCCTGTCCATCACTGACTCCCAGAGTTTACTCAAACTCATATCCATCAAGTCGGTGATGCCATCCAACCATCTCATCCTCTGTCATCTGCTTCTCCTCCTGCCCTCAATCTTTCCCAGCATCAGGGTCTTTTCCAGTGAGTCAGCTCTTCCCATCAGGTG